TCTCTCTCTCTCTCTCTCTCTCTCTCTCTCTCTCTCTCTCTCTCTCTCTCTCTCTCTCTCTCTCTCTCTCTCTCTCTCTCTCTCTCTCCTCCCTCAATGCGGGCAGTACGTCGCCCCGTATCTCAAAACACCACACAGAGTCGTCACCCCGCTTGGCCTGAGTGTGCAAGCCAGGTTCGCCCGCGTGCCACATTCCTTCGCGACCACGCGTCAACCCCACGCACTCAGCACCAGCTCGTCGGATCGCCCAACTCCCATGCTCACTCACCTTCCAAACTTGCTCGTCAGCCGACCCTCACTGATCGCGCTAACCTCCAGATTTTTAGAGAGACAACTAATCGCGCTTGCGAAATTTATAGCATGCATGCTTGCGTGAGAGATACGGGATGGGACTGAGTTAGTAATAGTGGGAGTATGGGGAGGTGGGATCTGACGGTTGCGGGGTTGGTGGGGATACGTGGGAAGAGGTGGTGATTAAGGCAGATCCACATAACCATGTTAACACTTTACAGCACAACGACACAGTACCGCACAAGAATGTAGTCCAAGTTATGGCAGGCAAAAGGAGAAATGAAGGGCAATCTGGGGATAAGGTCTAAGGGTTTAAGGGTTTAAGGGCTTAAGGGCTTAGGGGTCTAAAGGGTTAGGGACTTATGGGTGTAAGGGGTAAGGGTTGAAAGATTCCTGCCCTAACACTTGGGCATATTGGCCGCATAATTGAGCTGGATAGAATTACTCCACTGAAAAATTTATCTGATAGATAGTTATGCATGGACCGTAGGAAACACAGTTAGGAACACAGTTAGGAACACAGTTAGGAACACAGTTAGGAACACTCATAATCACACCTTATATAACACACCGCGATATGAGGAACGAAACATACGCAGGAGTACCCGCAACATACACAGACAACAGATAATAGACACAGACACAACGACATATGGAAATGACAAGATAAATAGGAGATAAATTCTAAGCTACTTTCAACTGGTTACGATAACATCATCATAAGTGATAATGCTCTGAATAATCCATAAATAAAAGGACTGCTATAGCGCTGGGACAATCAATCAAATCCCCAGCTCATAAGGCATACTAACAAAACATGCTTATACTATCGTTGTTTTTGACATTGTATTATACAGGGACGCTGGACCCGATTTCCAGCAGGTGCTGCTCCCCACCAATAGATGGAGCCTCCGCGGCGATAATAGTGGTGTCTGCTCCTATCAGCACCCCTAGTAGATGTTCAGGTTGTTTTTGGAAAAAAAAAAAAAAAAAAAAAAGAAAGGGAGAGACCCCAAGTAAGCCTCTAATAAGCATGGATTCTAGTTGATTGAGAAAAACGGGGTCTATTTTCCTTTTTTTTTTTTTTTTCTCCTTCTTGAAAAGGGGGGGACGGAACAGAAACTTATGTTTTTCAGAACTGCCCCTGAGGACTTTTCCGCACGAACGGTTAGCGACCGCGCCGATAAATCCAAGAAACGGTTAGGAATTAGTGTGGGCAGAAATTTGATTTCTTGTGTAATAACATGTGCGTGGCTGTTTTTCAAATTTTTGCACGCCGCGTAAACCCGTTCCCCCGCTTTGCATCTCCGCGCCATCTTCCCTTCTTGCTGCGCGCTTCCTTCTTGCATGCCTCTTCGTCTTCTCACGAGCGAAGTCCGATCCTCTCCTTACCCATCATCGCGAGCGACTGGCTGTGTAGTTGGGATGGTCGGATCCATGTGGTGGAAGCGGAGCCTGCACCACTTGAACGACCACTCCAACTACATGCAACTTTCGACCCGCCTCTTTCGATCCTCGAGAACCTCAACCCTTCTTCTGTCCTGCTCATCTACACCCCTTGTTATCCGCGCCTCGCGCTGGCACCCCGCTGCCATCAGCACTATAAATTCTTGCAGTCCCTTCCTCTCCCTCTCTTTGATCTCGGCTGCAATGCTGCGCGAGCTATGTGTGAGGTCCGCGGCATTGAACAGGCTTGATGTGCCCAAGGACGGGTGGAGTGACGACGTGGGATGGGCTTAGCGGTACACTTGGGGTAAGATAGTCGGAGTGACAGAGTGGTGGTGGAGATCGAACGCTGCCAGCGGCAGGGCCTTGTGGCTATGGTTGGCAGAGGTTCGAAGGATTGGGGGTTGTGCCCAGGGAGGCCAGCCATGTGAGAAATTTTGAATAACTCGCTTTTATCTCCATTGCTGCTTTGTCCAAGTGTGATGTGTGCAAAGTCCCGAAGTATGGGTATTATGTTGTATGCATGCTGTGGTGCGATAGTCTATGAATGCTGAATGTCTCACTATCCAAGATAGATGAATGAGCACCCCCAATCACTATGATCGGCGTTCGCAGGTACGGGACGGCGCGTGGGGTGTGAGGTTGCGCATCACATGTCTGCTTTCTTATCTTTCTTTTATTGTGAGAGTAGTAGCTTTGAGTGTTGAGGGCGGCAGCTGGTAGGGTGACCAGAGTATCTCGGTCAGTAGGGAGGAGGCTAGAGAGTGCCATAGGATAAACCAGGGAAATCGGTTGGTAGGGGCGCAGTAGCCCGTTAGGAGAGTGTTAGGGAATAAGGAGCTTAAGTTGCACCAGGTCGGATAGATCCGGTCGTCGGATTAGTCGGTAGGGAAACTGCTTTACACTACGCTTCAAAAAGATAAGGTTGATAGTTTTGTTTGGGCGAGTTGCTAGATTCTAGGTATTCAGTGCTCCTGGTACTTTTGGATTTCAATTGGGATCATCATCAGTATTCGTTCCGGCCGATGCCACAAGCTAAACTGGCTGATGCGCCCAGTAACGAAAGCTAGCGAAGATGGTGCTCGGCAAGGTCAGCGCATCCGGTTGTACGTCCGGGGGATCGTTCTCGGATACAAGAGATCGAAGTCGAATCAGTACCCCAATACCTCTCTTATTCAAATATAGGGTGTGAACACCCATGAGGATGTGGCATGGTATCAGGGTAAACATCTCGCGTAAGTCTACAAGGCGAAGACGAAGACCAAGAAGAATGACTCCAAGTACTGATGTATCTGGGGCAAGGTATGCCGGCCGTGAGGTTTGCCGGCCTCACAGCAACACGGGCGTAGTTCGAGCAAGATTCAAGAGCAATCTGCCGCCCAAATCCATGGGAGCGAAGGTGCATGCTATGATTTACCCTATCCGGATCTAGAAAGGAAGAGTGCCTAAGTCCGCCTTCAACTAGGCTGTATCGTCGGCTGAGAGGAAGAGGCTGCTGCTAAGATGCTCACAGACATGCAGTGTATATTGAGAGTTGAGTTGTAGTCCACACCGTCTGTAGCCGTAGCTTGGTTGTTGTTTTCTGACATGGCTACTGTCGCGTCCGGGTTATTTTGAATGATATCTTTTTCAGACTTCAAAAAAAAAAAAAAAAAACCTGGCTGATGCTGCCAAGATAACCCCAGGTAGAATTGTGGGGACCTCCGCCCCCGATTGGATTTTGCAATATACAGACTCCGAGTAGATTTGAGAAACTGTTACCAAAAAAAAAAAAAACAAAAAAAACTGCAATCACTATGTGGTACCACAATAACAAAAAAAACAGTTCAAGAAACCAAGACTTTCTTCCCACAGACATGCCAAAAAACAAAACAAAGAAAAAACAAAAACAAAAAAAGACATGCCAAAGCAGCCAAACTACTAACCCCTTGTTCAACCAGGCAAAAATTTAATGAGCAAACTATGCCAAACGAACACAAGCAGAACAACTAAAATGGAGTACAACTTCCCCCCCAAAAAAGACAAAAATGGAGGACAACAATCCTCTGGGTAGCCAACTATTAACTACCTGCTATCCCCCTTCTCTCACCCCACTCAGTTCCTAATCTAACCTACCTATGCCCCCCTCATAGGGCCTACATGGCCCCCTGAGCCTAACCTGGCTCAGCTTCTACCAGATGCCTCTCTGCATAACATTGTCCTCCTGCGTACCGAATTGGACCGAGAGGTCAGGTATGCCCCCCAAATCCCTTTAATCTCCACCTTCAGCCCCCACTGCCCACTCTCGTCATGCTCTCTCTCTCTCTCTCTCTCTCTCTCTCTCTCTCTCTCTCTCTCTCTCTCTCTCTCTCTCTCTC